GACGGAATTCAGTGGAATTGGACGGAATTCCGGGGAATTCCTACCGATTCCCACCAATTCCGGAATTGCGTGAACTACTTCTAATTACGGAATTACACGGAATTCCTACCGATTCCGGAATTGGACGGAATTCCTACCAATTCCGGAATTATACGGAATTCCTACCAATTCCGGAATTGGACGGAACTCGATCAATTTTCGAGTGGGTATCGGATATTATGTGTCGATCGAGTTCCCGGAATCGAACGGAATCGATTCCGGAGCGGAACTGGTTCCTGAAATGTTCAACATTGCGGAATAGGATGACTGCTCGTAAGTGTTTGTACTACAACTATTAAATGAATATCTGTCAACGTTAGTATAAGTATTTAGTTGAGTTTGACATATCCAGAAATAAAAACTTGTTTTGTAAGATGACATTTGTACTATAAGCAGAAAGCTTTACACAAACAGCTACATTAATTTCATCAAATAACAGAATATTGTGAATAGGATCAGATCAATGTCCTTGGGTACAGATCCATTTCAATCGATTTCTAACCTGATGTAAATAATATACAAATTAGCATAGATCCCTGCTCGTGATCATGAAATGAAAAAAACTTTGCTTTTTGTTACAACATGACTTATCACTCCATGTTCCTATAATAAAAAAATGTTGCAAACATTCAAATATAGTGTATCGTAGATAAAAAATATAAACATATTCTTGCTTTTTATGAATCTAAAAGATATTTTTATATACTTTAGTTTTTGAAAAAATTACATTAGTAGAAGGATTAGACTATAAATAAACAACTTTTTCTATCTAAAACTTTGGGATATTATTCATTTTCGAAATAAAGAAGTTATTCCAAACTCATTCGTGACATACATTATTGAGGGTTCGAGTACAGAAAAATGTTTATAGGTTCTATTGTCACTCTACATTTACGATTTAATTATTTCATTAAAAGCGATATTATAGAAAGTAGTCTCTTCAGAAAGCTAGACTCAGCTTCGACATACCTCTCGACTTTCAGGGTATATAAGAGATGACTTATGATGCTCAAGTTTCTTTCTCACATCCAGACGGTTCCTATTTCTCTGAGTCAATCAAGATCTATCACGAATCTCGACTGTTATTTTTATTTTCATTCCATAGGTTACCCATCAGCCATCGAAACAACATTTTCAGGAACTGTACAATCAAAATATATATTACAGTTGACTGCAAATAGTCAAACATATTCTCGAGAATGTGGAATATCAAATTATTACTATCAAACTATACGAGTGAACGTAGAGAAAACTGAAGACTATACTCTGATAATCTTTTCTGAAATGACAGATCTGTATGGTTATATTTACAAAAATGATTTTAATCCAATGGATCCTTTTGAGAATAGACTCTCGAAGGATTATCGAGCCAGTAGTGATCAAGGTTACAAGCTAATTGCTAATCTTCATACTGGCATTACATACATATTAGTGGTAACAACACGTTATCCAAATGAGACAGGAAACTTTTCTATTAAGGCAGCTGGTCGAAATAACATCACTCTTAATCCTTACAGTAAGTATTTTGTATTATTTTGCCAATCATCAACAGAGAAATACAACATCCCACTAAACTACATTTTCATTCTTGAATAATAAAACATCTGAGAATTTCAAATAAAGTATATAATTCAGTAGAATTATAGTCAAAAGATAGGACCATATCGGAACTGTTTCTTTTAAAAATAGCCAATTATCTTGCAATCAGATAAGATTAAGTCTCAGTATTGTAACTTAGTCGGAATTAAATGGATTATACTTGTTCAATCAGATGGGTAAATTAATACAAATTTTCTTCTCGCATCAACAATATATTCGAGAGGATCTATTCTTCAGTGATTTCACACTATCTGTGATATTATTACTATGCAGTCTTTAAAAATTCATCGAGTTCATATGTAGAAACATCTTTACAAAAATGAATAAATTCATCATGAGACATTAAACAGAAAATAGAAATATATAAATCTAATCTCGATACGACATGCCATGTATAGACAAATGACTTTGATATACTATTGTTGCTTACAAATTTACTTCGACAAGGTCTTCTGAAGTAGAGAACGATTAATCTCATCTTTTGATGACCATCTATTTCTTTCTTTAGCTCAAATTCTAAGGAGTTGTTTCATTGGTCAAAAATGTCAGTTCTACAAAAAAAGTATTGGTATCATTCTCGATGATATTTTACGTGATGAAATTCGACCGAATATGACAATGACTGACCAAACAATATTGGTGAAAATCAATGCTGCTTTAACGATGATTATGTTTGTTGGAGGTTTAATCAATAGTATTTTGTCTCTAATAACATTTCAGAGCAAAGAACTACGAAAAGTTGGATGTGGCATCTATCTCTTTGCGTCATCGATTACATCGTTCCTTACAATCAGTATATTTACAGTGAAGTTTTGGTTTGTTGTTCTCACTCAAATAAATCTGTCAATTCGTCTTTCTGTTGTTCGAGGAGGTTGTGTATCGATCGAACCACTTCTCAAGCTTTGTCTTTATTTGGATGCTTGGCTCAATGCGTGTGTAGCTATTGAAAGAGCGATTCTTGTTTTCAAAGGAATCGCATTCAATAAACAAAAGAGTCAACGCATTGCTCGATGGATAATTCTTATACTACCATTCTGTATCATGGGTTCAATCATTCACGAACCTATACACCGAGAACTGTATGAGGTAAAGACAGAGACAAAGGAAGTGGATATCGATAGATGGTGTTTAACTCGTTATTCTTCTTTTGTTCAGCAATACAATACAATCATCTTATTTTTTCATCTTGTCGCTCCATGTATTATCAACCTTTGTTCTGCATTATTCATCATATTTGGATCCGCCCGACAACGATCAACAGCTCAAACAAGACTAACTCTGCAAGAACATATTTACAGTCAAATTAGTGAACATAAACAATTATTAATCAGTCCAATTATTCTTCTAATTTTGTCCCTACCTCGTCTGATTATGTCAATGTTATCAGAATGTGTCAATCCATCTAATCATCGATTATTATTTATTTCTGGTTATTTCATTTCATTTACTCCATCGATGCTTATCTTTATTGTTTTTGTCCTTCCTTCAGACCTATACAGAAAAACATTTCAAGAAACATTCAGACGATGGTGGCGACTAATTCATCGATAATCAATTTTTCTTCATTATTTCGGAACTTTGCTAATTTATTGAAACAATATTCGCTTCGATTTCAGAATAAATCGGGAAATATCGATCAAACAGAACAAAATTTTTCGTCTTTTGCATAGACTATCGCATAATGTAAGAGAAATTTGATGAATTTATGATGATAGGGTGTGTGTGTGATATTGAGAGCAAAGTTACGTACTCCCGCACCTACGCTTTCAGACGAAAATACAAGCATGTTGAATTGTTTTGAAATAATGAAATTGATATGCATGTGAGCACTTGCCACATTTAATTTGTTCTTTTCAATAAGGTTTCAATGGAGTTTTGGTCATTGTATTTATAATTGGCCAATAATTTCTTCAACATTGAACACGATCATTTTCTGTCCAAACTTTACACTTGTGACCACAAATCTTTGTTGCATACTTCTACCATTTCCTTTTTTTTTAAAATATTAACACAAATGTTTCTTTCGATGCTTTACGAGTTAGTTTGAAGACAAACAAAGTATACAAAAGGGTGTGGCTGTGCGAGAAAAAGCTAGCATCGATGTCTACTTCCACACCCACCCTCAATATACACGATAGCGTGACACATTTACTTTTTGTGTTCTATATATATGACGAAGGTGAGTTTTTTCGTTTGTTACAAGTGAAAAAACGTCCCTTAGAAAAAAACCAAGTTATTATCATTCATTATAGGGCATATTTGATAAATAAAAATAATTTCGTAAAAGATTTAAATCAGGATTTACTTCCTTAATTTATGTTTCAAGTATAACATATAAGCAACATCAATCTATTCATATTTTAAGATTTTATGTGTTATACAACAAAAATATGAATTGTCTTTGAGAATGTTTATTTCTTTCTAATAATTTACAATAGACAGTTATTCAAAAGTACAGCTATGACGATTATATAACTTGATGAAAATATTAATGAAGACTTAAACGATCTATTACAAAATATTCATGATCATATTTTCATCATAACTGATAGATCAACATTTTCAGATTATATTCAAACTATGGTAAACGAAGCAATCGTTGTTTTATCTGGTGCAATTTCTCAAACTATAATACCAATCATTCATGATAATAAACAAATCAATTCGATCTATATATTTTGTATCCAAGATTCAAACTATAAATATTTGTGCGGTGTACACTCAAAAATTCATGGTATTCATACTGAATATAATTTATTATTCAAATCATTGAAAAAGAAATGCTATTAAATCTATTCGATCAATCAGGACAATCTACGCAGGATTTAACACGTGAATCATCAGAATTTTTATGGTACCAATTATTACGTGAATATATAATGAAAATGGTTCAAACGAACGATAGTAAAAAAATTATGCTAGAAAAATTTCGTTTATATTATAGAACAATTAAAGCTTATTTGTCTAAAGTAGATGAAAGTAAAAATCTTAGATGGTACGAACTAATCGACTATCAAGTTGGATATCTTCTGATTGAGATGGATCAGTCAGTCGAAGCTATTCGTTATTCTGAAAATCTATTAGAAGAAGCAAAAGATGATAAAAACAGTTTTATCGCTCTTTTTGGATTAGTAATTGCTTGTCTAAATAATGAACAAGTTGAACAAGCAAATGAATATATAAATCATTGCTGTAAACTTTATGAAAATATTCCGGACGGTACTATCTATGATCATTGTCATATATTTGATCTTTTAGGAAGTATTGCTCATAAACAAAATAGACCTAAACTTGCCATTCATTATTATACAGAAATCTTAAAAATCGTACCGGAAGATGATACGGATATGATATCGATTGCTAATACTAATTTAGCAAATATTTATTATTCGTAAGATAATACAGAAATGAGTTTACAACACCTTCAAAAAGCTATACAATTAGATGAATTATTATATTCAACAGAAGATTTTCACATAGCTAATGATAGTTTTAATATTGGTGTATTTTATTATAAACAAAACGAATTACATTTGGTTTTAAAATATTACGAACAATCATTGACTATACGCGAAAAAGTACTTCCATCTTTGCATATCGATATAGCATTAACACATATTGGACTGGTAGAAATTAATTTCAGATTAAAAAATTATAATCAATCTTTGTCATTACATCAAGAACATCATTCAACATGAAATTTATTCAATTTGTATGTTACATATAGTAATGTTTATTATGGAATTAATGAATTTGATAAAGCAATTGACAATTGTATGATATCATTAACTTTAATTGATGATAATAATGAAAGAAAGATTGCTCAAATTTATGAAAATATTTTCGGATGTTATGGTATGATGAGTGAATATTTATTAGCAATTACGTATTTAGAAAAATCGTTAGTAATACAAGAATAATTAGATCCAATGAATAAAATTATAATTATTAATTTATGTAATAATATAGCAACATCTTATTGTTCACTGCAGAAATATAATCTAGCTTTTGAATATTGTACTAAATCCAAAGAATACTATGAAAAATATGCTTGTGATAATATAAAAGAATCTAGCATATAAATATTGTTTATTATCAACGAACCAGTTAGTCTTACCTATAGCTGAAAATTATGAAATTTTAGCTAATATTTATTTTGATATAAAAGATCAGACAAAAGCGTTTGATTATTATATGAAATAGAATTTTAAAATTACTATTTTAATATTTTGCTTTTATTAAAAGAAAAAGAAATAAAACCTTTGAAAATACGACGACCACAATTAGTTTACAAGGTAACATCATTGTTAACTTTGTTCTTGCTATAAAAAAATGAATGGATCTGTTGTATATTTTTCTTTCTTTTCTTTGTAATTTTATCTAACTTTCAATTTAGTTTGTTACTCGTTCGAGTAGAAATGGTTATGATTCTTGTTATTGAAAATTTGATAATATTGAAAGTAATGATGCATAACGACAACTTATACACAAATGAGTGTGTCTTGTATTGATCGATGAAAGGTGAAATATGATATATTTTCATGTTCATTTCTTTTTTCTTTATCAATTATATAGATACTTTCTTCATATTTGATAGCTGTCAACACGTGTCATCGACTTTTTTTTCTTTTCTTCTATCGATACACTTGATTGCTCTGTCCTTTCTATTTTTTCAGTATGTTAGTGACAACTTTATCAGCTATCACTTATTCAGACTTAAATTTTTTTTAAAAAGATTCATTTTAAGATATTCTACAAAATGAGGTGGGTGTGAATATTATATTTTATTCATATTCACACTAATTATTCGACTGAGAATAAAGACGTCCATTTATTATACATCTCCAATTTAAAGTACATCCTATCTATTACTTTTAAGTAATTTTTCTTACGCTACATTTTTCACGTATTTATGTTTTTGTTATAGAAATAAAAACTAATTATAATCAAACGTCAAGAATGTTTGTAAAACGTCAACCGAAATATTACAATTTAAAATACATATTACTTTTCATAACTCTGACTTGCGTCATTTTTATTATGTTCTTTATCATAAACAAATATGCGAGTATGATTCCATTAATCAAAATATCAAAAATAGTAGTGCATACGGCTTTGACTTCCATCACAACTTGTCGTCCATACATACCGTCTGATAATCGTTCCTTTTTCGTGCGTGATTATCCTCAATCAAATTTACCTCAACGAATATCAAATTCATCATATCAAAATCTTCTTCGTCAACTTCCTTCTCTTCGATTAGTTGTCCTAGGATGTGCTCGTAATGTCGAACGAGATCTTGATGCATTTCGACGTCATATTGAACCAATCATTAATCTTTTTCATTCATCATCTCGTATTCTTATTTTCGAGAGTGATTCAAAAGATAAAACTGTAAAAAAACTTCGTGAGTGGTCTCGTGTAGAACTATATACATATCGTGGATTATTAGGACGATATCCAGAACGTACTGATCGACTTGCTTATTGTCGAAATATGCTAATGGATAAAGCACATCTTTTACTACCTGATTACATTTTTATTGTTGATTTAGATAGATTTCCAACACCCGTTTCTTCTTTTCTTTCAAATTTTCAATATGACACAAATCAATGGTCAGTCATGACAGCAACATCACATGATACCTATTATGATATTTGGGCATTACGTACGTTATCTGATTCAGTTATGAATTATGATGTTTGGAATCAAGTGTTCAATCTGGAATTATCTCTGAGCAACTATTGTCATCCATCAATTTTTAATGGAATTATTGGAATTCATAAAAGACGTATTCCAGTTGAACATGGTTTAATTGAAGTACGTTCAGCTTTTAATGGTGCTGGATTGTACAAAGTAAATTCGACATATAACTGTAAATACGATGGTAGAACTACTTGTGAACATGTGTCGTTTCATTTGTGCATACGAGAAAAAAATCGAGGAAGAATATTTATTAATCCCGAGTTTCGAGTTAGTTAAAGACAAATAATTTGGAAATGCAAGAGTGTAGGTTTGGATGAAGTTATGAATATAAATCTATTTGAAACACGGTAGTTAGTAGACTTACATATGAATCACGAGGATGTGGTTTGGATGAGTATTCTTCCTTTCAACTTATAAATAATCTCATATTTTGTTTTATCTGTTAAACTGTATTGTACATTATCTATTAAATTTTATTTTATTGTGATAGATTAATACAAAAATAAATATTAATTGATAAATCTCCATTATAATCAGGTTTGTGAATATGAACGTTAATGACATTGCTAATGTACAGACGAAAAAACCATCCACTCTGACATCCACATCCATCCTCAAAGCAATAAAAAAAAGAGAGACAATCATAAGAATAATATTAATCGAATATTTTGGTTCATCTAATTTATTTTCTAATTAACTCATATATAAACTAACAATAAAAATCAATAATTTCAAGTAAGAATCTACAGTATTGTTAATGTAAGCGTGTTGGACTTTAATACTTGGCAAGAAGACGCGAAACAAAAACGACCACGATACCCATCCCAAGGGCAAGATACGGAAGTATACTAGCATGGTTTGTTACAGTTTTGTTATCATCGAGATTGTTGTCGCCAGTTGCTGAAAGAGGAAAAGTACCTTTATCTTGAATATAATGACGAAAAAGAAAGACTGGAATGACTAAGGAACTAAATATTAAACCTGTAAGAAGTGTTCCAGTTCCCCATATGTCTGATCCCATTCCAAGAAAGACAAGATTTACATAGCTAAGTATGACACTAATTAAAAGTAACCAAGCAGGCGCCTTAAATGGTCTTTTCCATTGTGGACGATCCATTCTATGAATCCATACAGCATTCAAGTTCATAAAGATAAATATAATATATCCAACATTTGATGATGCCAAAATAAATACATAGTCAGACATTAACAAGAGGATTAAATTGAAACTGAGATCAGTCCACATTGCAGATGTCGGTGCACCATATTGATTGATATGAGATAAAAACTTTGGAAGCCAACCATCAATTGAACCTTGATAAAGTGTACGTGATGATCCTGCCATAGCAGTCATAATCGAGAGTAAAAGCGATAATAATAATAATACAACTACAATATTGATCATTATATTTCCGGCTCCGATCATGTCAGCCATTGCTTTGGCAACTCCCATTCCATTATAGATATCAGGTTCTAACATTCTCTTAAGACCAAGTGTTCCTTGAAATGTAATTGGAATTAGAGTGAAGACGAATAAACATAATAAACCTGAAGATAATATCGCTTTGAATGTATCGGATCCAGGATTTTTGAATTCACTTGTATAACAGACAGCTGTCTCAAAACCATACGTTGACCAAGCAGCAATGAACATTCCACCAGCAAATAACGTTATACCTGCTCTATCCCAACTTCCACTAGTCACATTATTTGTTGCATCACGCATAAGTGGAACGAATGGAATAAAATGTTTACTATGAAATTTACCCATAAAAAGTGGAACTATACCTAAGATAATCAATGGTAGTAATGAACAGATAGCAAAGATCATTTGAATCCTTGCAGCTGAAAGAATTCCTCGATGTTGTATACCAAACACTATTAACATTAATATTGCTCCAATAACAAAAGTTGAATCAATCCTTAATGAAAGATCTGTTTTTATAAAATGAAGACTAACAATTTTAAATTTCCATGTATTTATTAATGCATTAGAATTAAACATACTGAGAATGTATCCAGCACTTAATCCAGTTCCGATTGCTAATACCGGTGACCAAGCAAACCAATTGCACCAAACAGATATAGGTGCTAAGATCTTTCCATATCGTACCCAAGCAATAGCACCATAGATAGATGCACCGCCGGACTTATTTGGAAATAGTCCAGCAATTTCTGCATAAACAAATGATTGTAAAAAACCAATAATGATCGAACTTGTCCAAACGAACCAAGATGGATTTCCAACAGTTGCAGTAATAGCGCCAATAGAAAATAGGACAAGTGCAGGTACACCACTTGATACCCAAAATGCATCTAACCATCTTATTGATCGTTTTAACTTTTCTCTATTTTCTAAGACAGATGACACTACCAAGACATTTCCTTCTTCACCATCCGAATGGAGTTCTTCGGCTTTTTTATTTGGATACTCCATATAATATCGACCGACAATTTTCTAAAAGCAAAAAATGTTTATCAATCACTCCGAATTAAAATGACAAGCAAAATGAGTCGAATTTCAAAATATATTGTGCCCGAATCTTCTCTCATTTGATTTTAAGACTGTTTCAGAAAACAATGATAGATATAGAAGAAAATAAACATTAACTTTGGTCTATTTAAAACTATGACTTACCCTTTTTAATAATTGTAACAAAAGAATCTTTTCTTTTTTAAAGATATTACCTATTCTTATCTAATATGAAGATGTAGAACGAAGAAGATAAGGATTTTACATGTGCAATCTAACAATGAATCAAAGAACACACATAAAATTTACTCACAAATTTGACAAGGTGAACTCACACTCATCTGATGTTGGAATTTAATATTAATTTTCTATTTCTTATTTCCCTCATATTCTTCACTGACATTTCTGATGATGTGCTTCAAATAGGGCACGAAAAAGCTCGACTATAAATATTTTTCGGATGAAAAATAATTTTTATAATACTTGTTTCTTTATTTTATTCTTAGAAAAAAAATATTATTACTCAATAAAAAACATTATTACGGGTTGTTATGTTAACTTTCAAGTTGATGAAACTACAGAGAACAAACATTCAACAGAATACGTTTTAGTTCTGTACGAAAAGTTTTTGATACGATTAAATTTGTATAACAACTAATACTGTTGTCGATAAAATACCAAAAGTATGTTAACTGTATAACTGATTGTTCAATTATATTTTGTTCCGTACTTTTTCCATTGTTTTGTGTAATCTGTATATATATAAGAAAGATTGTAACTGGACATTTAAAAATGATATAAGAAATAATATTCATAAATAACATTCGAATAAGTTGTTGATCTTTGGATCGAAAAATACGTGGTCTACCAATTGTCATATTTCCAGTATTTGTTAAACTAGCAGGACGTATTCCACGATTTACTTTACGAATATTTCTCACTGTCCAAAGTCCAAATATTCCCATGAACAGAGGTGGAAGAGTTCCATTGAGTAGAAGTGAAGAGAAAGTCATGAATTCAGTATATGTTCCTGGTTGATAGTAACAAACAAAAAAATTTGGTCCATATTGCAGAATCTGCGTGAAGATTAATGCATGAATATGGAACAACAGCCAAAATATAGTTATACTAATTACACTTATACGGATCAAGCGACGTGTACTGAGTTTTCGTGTTCCAGCATTACATGAAGTAACTAATGTGCGATCAATTGCTGCTAAAATGATATAAGATGCTTCCCAACATGCGAGAACCAATGCTATATAATAACGAAATCGACAAAAAACAATACTCGTTGCACTTGGATCAATATCATAACCAACTGCAAGTGTTGTTAAAAGAAGACCCAAATAAAAATATATAAAATCAACAATATTCACCGCCCGAAAGCAGATTGTACAGGGATTTTTTCGTAAAGTATCATTTGTAAATACCATCAAATTTAGTATACAACCAATACTGCCAATAGTTATTAATAATGGTCCACCAAATCGAAATGCATTTCGTTGAACATAGAATATTATTGCTGATGAAGACATTACAATTCTTTCATCGAATGTTTGATAATAACAAGATATAAATGTATATACTCACGCACGGAAAAAAAATGGGTAAATGTAACAAGTAGGAGCGAAAAGAAAAATGATAATCTAAAAATACCATCAATCCTATTTGAAATTAATCAAGTAAAGTGTATTGATCTGTATATATTAATCTAAAAGCAATTTTTAAATAAAAATTAGTTGACATAAATATTTTCAAATTCTTTTTCATTTAAAGAAAGTATGTTTCTGCATCCTCGATTAATATTAACATAAAGAATGTCATATTAGTGATTAAACAATCAATCTAGTTTTTATTCTTGCCAAAGTACTTGAAATAACTCATTATATAAGAGCATACATTCACATTTAAAATTGTGGATAAACATTTTTTTTATGTAACACCAGCACAGTTTCAAGTTAATCATAGGTGAAATCAAACTAACGTTTATGAATCAGTCTATGTTAGTCAATAAGCATCCGTTGTATAGACACAACTGTTGTTGCGTAAAAAGAGCATTTTCGAAAAAACACAAAATAATTATGAAAATCTTTTATCATCTGAATCAACACACGAGATCATATTTCGTCTATATTATTGTTTGTTAGTCTGGATATGTCTAAGAAATCTAACTAAGTACAGTTAGACAATCTCTAATAAAACCATAGAAACGATTTTCAATTTACGAAATTATAGAGACTTTATCTTCTGAACAAACAATCTAGGTTAATCTCGCAAATAACACACAGTACGCTGTATTATTATAAATTTACCTCGACAAATTTGAAACAACGTATTTTATACATCAAATAATAATAGAAAAAGCTGGAAAGGACAATTGACATTTATATTTTAAGCCGATTCAGGATTATTTTATTTTCAAATACACCAAATAGCGTCTTCGTATCTGATTTCTTTATAATAAAATCCAAAAATTAAACTTTTGTACATGTGGATAAATGGTGTACTCTACATGCATTCACACCCTACTCATAATATAACTATATATCGAACTATTTTCGATTGTTGTTGAATATGAAATAAATAAATACAAACTAATGAATAAATTATTTAAAAAAACCTTGAAATGCACTTTGACATATTTGATTATCTATATAATAAATAATTTCATTAGTAAATGTAAATTCAAAAATTCATTTTATACTGATAATTAATAGAAATGCATTTAAACATGAATAAGAATATATTTTTACATATTAAATACATAAGATCAGAGAACAACAAATACACATCATTAAACTTTAAATTAACGATAAAATATTAAAAATCAGAGAAATAAATTACACTAAACATTTATCGTTACGGCTCACAGCTGTTGTTAAAATATTAATTTAGATATTCTTTTACAGAATGAAGACATGATTACTAACTAACAATGTTTGAATTTATATAATTCGATTATATCATCATAAATATAGCAAATTGAGGTAGTTTCATGAAAATCATATATTCAACTTTTGATTTACACATTCAGTATGCAATGATTAGAGATTTATTTCTATATAAATTAAACAGGAACTATGAAATAAACGAATAGATTGAATTCAAATGAATATATCATAGAAAAATGATACAAATTCGATAGAAGTTCATTACAAAATATCAGTGGTACTTTAATAGTTAACATTAAAGTTATGAACTATACATTAGTGTATCATAATTATTATCACAAGGAAGATTTTTTTAATCAAAAGTATCGATATCGACAGTAGACATCGTTACAAAAATGATTAATTAAATAAAAATTTTTGCATTATATGGTCGATCTTTTTGTTGATATACATGATGAATCAATATGAATTGTTGAAGATTAAATTTTTTTGCTTTTACTAATTATGATATGGGTTTGAGTTGATATTTGAGATAAAAATAATACCTACTAGCATCCAAACCCATCCTTCATACATTAAACAATATTGGTAGAAAGATCTTTGTGTTAAAATTTATGTTTTAACGCGTCGAAACATACATTTTTCTTCTTTTCTCTATACGCATAGTACAGGTAATGTTTATTGCTTGCACAATTAAAACATGTGGTGGTTACGACTCATTGTAATTGATCGATTGCTTGTTTTTTTCATTATATTAAAAAGATCGGTGTTTCATGCTTGAGTGATTCATTGTAAAGAAAAGAAATAAAAATGTGTGCCCCTCATATTTTCGTTTAGATTCGTAAGTAGTGTATTCATCCATTCTTCTTCTACTCCGGTCATTTTTAGATATTATTTAACGGTAGCCATCGCTATAATCTTTCTATTTAGTCTACAATATTAAAATGATGTTTTCATAATAGAATCCATTGTCCTGAGAAAAATATGATTTCTAGTTGCATTGTAGGTTTTGGTCTGTTGAGTACAATTTGTCTCCGATATTTTTTCGTATATGTATATAAAAGATTGATGCTGAAGATCTTCATGTGAATCATCCTTTATAAATTATAGTAAAACAATATTTTGTATCTTCAAAGCTAATTTCGATTTCAAATAAGAAAAATTTGAGGGTGTGGGTATTATATTTCATCTACATCTGCCCACAGCCACATCAGTAATTCGACTGAGTAAAAGGATGTCTACTTACTATACATCTCCAAATTGTAGTACGTCCTTTTTTTATCAATAACAATTGTGTCAAAACAGGTTCTAGTTTGATATTCGTGATCATTTTCGAAGTCTATAATGTACTCTATTTAAAACTAACCTTTAATAAAGAACAATATTTCAGTTTCTTTTTCCAATAGTGAAGCATTATTAGAGAAGTAAAAATAACTCAAAATCTATTCCTTACAGTAATGAAAAGAACTTTAAACCTGTATAGAACTATAGAAAATGCAATCATTTACCTTTGTTAATTTTTTAAATAATCTTTTTTACACTACATTTTTCGCGTACATATAAATATAAAGTCCGTATTCTTTGCCGTAAAGATTCTTTTGATATATATTATAGTTCTTTTTTCTTTCTCTTTTATAGTTTTATTAAAGAAATAAAACTTAATTATAAACAGACGTCAAGAATGTTTGTCGAATATCAACCTAAATATTACAATTTAAAATACATATTACTTTTCATAATTATGACTTGCGTCATTTTTATTATGTTCTTTGTCGTTAACAAATATTCAGGTATGATTCCATCAATCAAAATATCAAAAAAAATAATGCATATGACTTTAGCTTTAACGAAAAAATGTCATCCATACATACTATCAGACAATCGTTCATTTTTCGTACGTGAATATCCTCAATCAAATTTACCTCAACGAATATCAAATGCATCATATCAAAATGTTCTTCGTCAACTTCCTTCTCTTCGATTAGTTATTCTAGGATGTGCTCGTAATGTCGAACGAGATCTTGATAAATTTCGAACTCATATTGAACCAATCATTAATCTTTTTCATTCATCATCTCGTATTCTTATTTTCGAAAGTGATTCAAAAGATAAAACTGTAAAAAAACTTCGTGAATGGTCTCGTGTAGAACTATATACATATAGTAAATTAATAGAACTGTATCCAGAACGTACTGATCGACTTGCTTATGGTCGAAATATGCTAATGGATAAAGCACATCTTTTACTACCTGATTATATTTTTATTGTCGATTTAGATAGATTTCTAACATCCGTTTCTTCTTTTCTTTCAAATTTTCAATATGACACAAATCAATGGTCGGTCATGACAGCAACAGCACATAATACCTATTATGATATTTGGGCATTACGTACGTTATCTGATTCAGTTATGAATTATGATGTTTGGCATCGAGTGTCGGAACTTGAGACACCTCCGAATAACTATTGTCATCAATCAGTTTATGATGGAATTATTGGAATTCATATAAAGCATATTCCGATTGAACATGGTTTAATCGAAGTACGTTCTGCCTTTAATGGTGCTGGATTATATAAAGTAAATTCGACATATAACTGCAAATACGATGGTGGAGGATATACTTGTGAACATGTGCCATTTCATTTGTGTATACGAGAAAAAAATCAAGCAAGAATATTTATCAATCCCGAGTTTCAAGTTGGTTCAGTATAAGTAATTGTAAAACGCAGGAGTTTAAGTTTAAATGAAGTCATGAATATAAATCTATTTGAAACACAGTGGTTTGTATTCTTAGATATGAGTCTTGGGGATGTTCTTTGAATGAGTATTCTTCCTATCAACTTATATAGATAATCTTATATTTTATGTCATGTGTTTAACTCTGTTGTACATTATCTGTTAAATTTTATTTTATTGTGATAGATAAATACAAAAATAAATATTAATTAATATATTCGTTGATAGATCTCAATTATAATAAAATAAGAAGAGTTTAGTTTTTCTACAACACTGATACGATACGCAAAATACAACTGATTAAATCATCAACATTAAGATATACGACACAACAAAAAATATAGTTTATATTGTTATTTAAAACGTGGTTGTAAGATACCTATTGGAACTGCGGTTGCTAATGAACCATTCGGAGGTACTACTTGATTACGTTGATATTTTTTCAAAATAATACTTTTTAATTGTGGGGTAATGAAAACTAATGCGACACTTAATCCTACCATCGATAAACTAACCGAAAGCCATTCAATACGGAAAAAAAGAAGACTTTCTTCACCTGTGATTGATAGCATTATTAAAAGAACTAGGGATGGTAGTCCAAGAGTTAATAGTAGACCGACAGTTATAAAAATACGTCGTATCACAAGTAAATCCCGTTCTTGTCGTTTTTTAACTATAAACGTTTGGTTAATAGGTTGTCGACGAAGAAATATTGTAATGCGTAAATAGATAAACAACAATATTAAAACAGGATTTCCATAAGCGTTTAATATGCTCCAAAGAATGCCACGAATATTTGTGTATGGTATATAACAATAATATTCTTGTGGCAAATAAACAATATCATGCCAGAAAAGGACTGGACATTGTAGAGCACAAATGAAAATGAATTGAATAGGTGGTATAATAACATGCAATCGAAAATTTTGAAGCCACCTACGGGTTGAATACACAATTCGACACAGACGAAAGATAGCCTAAAGAAAAATATTTTCCAAATTGATATTATATTTTAGTCCATAATTACCTGATTGACAAAAGCCCAATATAATGTCGTGCAAAGAACAGGAAATATATATGCCGCGAAAATACACCATAATGATGCACCTGATTCTTTTCCATACAAATCTCCTAATAGTGATTGAATACTAAATGTAACTAATATTCCCGTAAAGCTGAAAATAAGTGGATAAATATTCGCACAATGAATAATAGTTACTTTATCCTCTTGATTCATACGATTATGAAAGAGATAATAGATGATATTAATAAAGATAATAAATGAAATCAAACATGTTAATATACTAACAACAAGTGTAATCAAATTGAGTGCAAATCCAATATTGTTCATCATGATTTAAATATGTTCCATTTAAAATGTGTTAATATCTCTTATGATATAAAAAAGAAATTCTTAAATAACTATATAATATCTAATAAACTTAAAGGAACTCATATTTTATATGATAGAAAAGCTTTCGCTTGCAGCAGTTTAAAAAAAAATTTTAATATTCTATGTAACAATAAACTCTAGTATTAAATCAAATATCATTAATCCGTAAACTGTCATTATATGTTCATCAAAAATGAATTCATTTAGAACAGAAGATTTCATGAATAAATGATACTAACGCAATCACAAATTCTAATTGATTTTTATAAAAAAAAGTCCTATCTCTGACCATTGTATTCAGTTTAATTTGATTCAAATATATTATTAGTATTAAAAGAATCATTGACTGTCATATATGACATTTAATAATGAATGAATAGATTTATTCAACATAATCTACGTATTTATTATTGCAAGGCTTTTATTTATGAATTAGTGGAAAATAAGATTACAACAAAGTGCAAAGCTCTCTGTATCTTCGTCACCCTTGAAGCATTTTTTAATTATGAAAAAAGCAATACAAAGTAGTCAAAGGGAATGTAATGTTATTCTGGTCAAAAGTTAATGCCGCTAACTATTTCAGCGGTTCTTGTTTATTTATTAAAAAAAAAGACATGAATAAATATTTGATAGAATGTTCACCCATTAGATTATTTGTTTATCTTTCAAATGAGGACATAATTACTTATCAACACTGAATGAAAAAATATTCAGGGAAGACCATAACCGAATTATAAGTATTAAAGAAATAAAGTTCAATAATATGTATGATAGATTTTCTCCTCAAAGATAAAAATCATCGATGAACTTATTTATATATAAGTTACTTTAGCTTAGAAAAGGTAAATACCACGTAACATAAAATTTTAATAGAAGGAATGAAGTTATAAAACAATCTTGGGGATGTTAAATAATAAGAAAGACGTGAAATCAACTCCATAGTACATAAGTTTTTGTAGAGAAAATTCGATTTATTATAAAATAGATAGCGTTTAGTTTATTTTAAAGATGTTATATGTATCAATTAGATAAGAAAAAAATGTAGGATTAAATATACAGTTCGTTTTATTTTGTTGATATAATCGTTGAATTAAACAAGTGGATAGCTGGCCATGGTAGCAATTCCACATTGATTTTTCTTGTTACGACTCATCCAGATGTATCCTTGGTTACCCCATGATGTTCCCCATGAGTTTTTGACGATGTAGTATTCTCCTGATCCTGATTTATCATAACCAACAGCTAATACACCATGATCGAGTTCGGTTGATGAACAATCTGGTTCGTTGTAGATACCTGATTTGTAGAATTGAAATGAATCTTGTGATGCATCAATAGCAACTGAAATTGGACCAATTGTAGCAATAGCATTTTGAAGATCAGTTTCATTTTGAGCTTTGATGTCAACGAAACCCTATATTTAAGATAATCATAGTGTAAGTTTTTAAATTTTTATATGAAATGAGTACGTACAGTATCAGTGGCACCAACATTTTCTTTTTTGAATCGACATTTACCATCTTGAGCTTCATATGGGTAGCTTTTTTCGGTATCAATACCATTGTTGGCTTTGATATATTGAAAAGCTGAATCCATTAAACCACCGTCACAACCCATGTTACCAAATTTGCCTGAGCAATCAACTAAGTTTTGTTCGGAGAGTGAGACGAGTTGTTGTGTTTTAGCGAAGTGTTGACCTTCGAGTGAACCAGTCGCTGAGAAAGCCCAGCATGATCCACATTGTCCTTGATCTTTGATTGGTGTTACGTAACCTTTTGTACGCCAATCTATATAAAATATTTTTAAGATTAGGTTCAGAGAAAGAACTAATATAATATATACATACCAACAGCATCTGGAATAGCAACGTTTGATGGAGCTAAGAATGTATGACGATCGAATGATTCATCTTTAGCTGAGACTTTGAAACCGTTCATTTGTTTACGGAATTCTTCTTTGGTCTACACAAATATAAACATGTAGTGTTTTTTGATGTTTGCAGTAATATAAAAAAAAACAACTTACCATATCACCAAATCGATTCATTCCTAGGGTGTATGTATGAATACCTAAGTCAGCTTCAACGTTGTGTTTTTGGATTTTAGCAAGATTAGCTTCCCAGATATTACGGCTATTAAACAAAAATAATAAATCTAATTTCTAAAAAAAAACAATACAATATTGTATAACATACCGAGCTGTTTCTTCTTCAATTGAATTGTATTGTTTTTCATGGACACGTTTGAATAATGTCCATTGATTACCGAGTTGTTCATCGAGCATAGGTGCACAATAAGCACCTACGAAGAGGACACAGAGAGCAATGATGACTTTCATTATTGTTATTGTATGTAATGATAATATTCTTGTTTATCAACGAGAAATAATTTACTAACAATGAAAAAGTGATGCGTATTTATATGAATTAGAGACTTTGCATGATCATCTTCCTTTGCAAAGATAACGTTAAATTTTGTCGTATCATTGGAAAAGTGTATAATCATTTAACTGACGTAGTATGATATAAGAAGAAGAAAAAAATCTTAGTTATCTTCAGAATATTCTTTTGTTATTTCAGCGTCATATAGATAAGCGATGGTAGAGAGGCCAGATGGCGTAGTGCAGTTTTGTAAATGACATAGCATGAATGCATAATAGTGCCTATCATTAATATATTCTACTTGACTACATGAAGATGCGCAGGATGTCTTTAAAACAAATTAGTTGCTGAATATTACCATCAACATTATAGTTTTGAGAATAAATTCTTTTATAGAACAACTTATGAGAAAAAAGAACATTTCCGTCACATATTTGCTTTATAATTTCAAACTGGGTTTGTTGACAAACTCCATGCAATATTTTTCATTAAATTTATAAATTGTGTACCAATCTGTCTGATTTTGTACTGATTATATTTCAGTTCACTCTTTATTATCGCTCTCCTTGGTGATCGAAGTAACCATTCGGAAAGAGACGAGGACGGAATAATATTAGAAAAAGCTTTTTTTAGACAAATATTGTTTTTCTTCCGCGCATTAATACAATAATCATTGACTGATAGGCGCATCGTAAAGAAAAAACAGAAATAATTAGAAAAAGTACGAGTATGAACGTGCAATGATTTTACACTTACACACACTGTCAAGATGCCTCTTGATCTATATTCTATGATCAAATAATTTGATATGTATTCATAAACAATTAATTATAGTCCTACAATTGAAACCGTCATGATGATTATGACAACAATATGGAGATAAACGCTTTTCATATTCAACAACAAGTAAGATACAGCTGCGAATATCTAGATTTTATCTTAGCTACGAAGATCATCAGTTGTTGCTAATCCTTATATATCTGTAGAATTACAACACTAAAATTCAATCGTATGAGGGTGTGAATGGGTGTCTGTGCCGTGACATTGAACACCGACACCCAAAACAGACTAGTCTAAGAGTGCGAATGAGTATGAAATGAATATAATGTTCACACTCACACCCATACGTACCCTCAAGAGCCACACCCACACTCATGCCCTAACAACCACCCAAAATGAATTGGAGAAAAAACAGTGCCGTCTCATCACATTACGCAAGATATCGATAGAATTTTATAGTTTTGTGAGTTTGTACTCGACCTACTCGTGATTTAAGAATGATCTTATATCTCGAGATATGAAGCAGAAATGTGAAGAAAAGTTTGTTCTGTTTATTTTGGCTAGGGTATATATGACGTTATAGAGCTATTCGAGTGTACAACTATCACACATGATTTAGGTACATCCTGTATGAATGAGTAAAATCTACATTTTTTGGACTAATTGTTAATCTTCCCATTCCAGATCTTGAATAGTTACTGTTGATGGATGCCCATGTAAAGCAGGATTTATGCGTGACACCGGATGATATGTTACTGGTAAAACTGATTTATTTTGTACAAGCTTCGTTAATGCTATGACTTGCTGTTTCAACTGATTCACTTCTTCTCTCATCAGTTTTGAACTTGTCGTTTCAGCCTGTTCAATATCGTCAGCAGTATTAATTATCATTTGACGAATACGATGTGTTTTGTGGAATAATTTTTCGATTAAAACTTTGAATGTTGGAAATATTAGTAGCTTTGACAGCAGGATAACCATCCCAACCAAATCCAGGCAAACACCTGTAAAGAGGATCGTATGAAAAATGATTTCTGGTTGTTTTGCTATTGGCGTTTGTTCGTTTTTGACAAAAAATGGTGTCTCACTGGTTTTAATAGACAAGACTGTACCCAAAGTTGCCTCTTGACTTTGATATTGTTGCTGTGAAAGAAACATTTGTTCCGCATCGAAAAGAAATGTCGGCGTCCAGACACCGCTATAGTTTGTTTTGTCATCCGTTTTTAAACCGTCTGTGATATTGATGATTTTGGTCAATTGCAACTGAATACTGGGATTTTGTGATAAAACTTTGTTACTTTCAAAGAATAGTTTTGAAAAATTCAGCTGTCGACTCGTACTTTCCTTATCATAGCCACCAGGTCCCGTCAGACCTACTCTCAATCCGGCAATGGTACTCATTCCGAAAAAAGTAAACTTTAAAGTTATAAAATGTGACGGCAATTTCACGGATACAAAAATAATATTCCATTCTGTGCTGCAAGTTGTAGGTAACATCAGAATAAATGAACTTTCAATCGTCAGATCGTTACAAGTATATCCAGTATTCATAAATTCAACAATAATGGTAAACTCTTGGGAATTCAACTGAGAAAACACTGACGCTTGCTCTGCAGATTGCACACTGAGAAACTGTAAACTTGTATGAAACTTCGAATTATGTGGTCTTGATTTACAAGAGAATGTTGGTCCATGAGATCCTTCGATCGGATACTGATAATAAAATGAATAACTAAATTTGTACACCAACGAAAGAAGAACAACAATAGCAATAGAAAATAAACCACCTATCCAAAATTCGCCTTCACCCAGAATATCTCCATGTCGAAATAACTTTTTCAGAAACAATCGAACATTTTTAAAGCGCAATGAAAATTTGAAAATTCCCATCATGAAGACTATGATAAGGGTAAAACCTGTGACAATCAAAGACCAAAATAGCGGTGACTCTACAAGGCAATCGATTGAAAATGTCGTTTGCATTAGAATGTCATCATATACAACTGTTTCTGGTGACTGAGGATAGCTGTGTGTTTCATTAACGTCTTCAAGTAGTTTTGATTCGCTGATGGAACCAACAGCACAAAACGATTCGTTAGAACATCGTATGCAGTTGAAACCTGTATTATTACGTATACCAGGATACATTGTTCCAGTTTCACACAATGAGCATGACCATGGGCCACTATCGTTTTTATGCATTCCAGGTGGACACTTAGAGGTGTCTGGCTGTAAACATAAAAAAGAGAATAGTGTGGAAGGGGAGGATACAGTGTACCCCATACTGAATGAGCTTGAGTAAAAACCAGGTTTCGATGGAAATATTACCAATATTCTTCCATCTGTATCTAATACATTCAATGATGATGGATCATTCTCAAGTGAATTTGAAGAGATACCAGCAATTAACGGTCCGAAATACGTCTCAATTGAACGAGCTCCCTCTAAGCTACTATACTCGGTGCTCGGTTGTTGCCTATTAGGAAATATGGACACTGGCGATGTTTCGTCTGTAATGGTTGACATTGTCATATCATAAAAATGAATACGTGATCGTATCAGGGTCGTGCCGACATATACATTTGCTAGAACAGCTGCTTTCTTGCCTTGATTTAACCAAGTAACGCCTGCGCCATAACCGTATTCTAACGCGCCTGGATTGTTTTTCCGCGAACTAACATACGTGAGATTTATTTTGTCAGACGACCCATTTGTAACAAAGGTTTTAATTATATTATCTGCTGAAATTCCAACCAAAATACGACCATCATTATCGTTAACGCTCAACGACATTTTCATTAACGGATTCACTAATGACTTCTCCGATGACCATTTGGCAGCAACAACTAAACTCGCAGCATCGCGAAGACAAAGTTGGCCATCAGATGAACAGTTAAATGAAGCCGAGTTAAAAAGTGCTTCACCCAATGCATACAATTTATATGTGATCAGATAAACAGTTGGGGTAAAACTGTCTGTCCCGTATGTAAAACCAGCAACAGCCGCAAAACTACTAGTGACATCAACAGCCAGTGGCAAAAACGTTGAATTTGGCCATGTTAAACTAGCTGGCCATGATAGCAATTTCAAATAGTTTAAATCATAAACTAAGATAAAGGCATTCGAAAAACCGAATGCAAATTTTCCGTAGGGTTCCACACCAATGACATAATAATCTGGATGGATATAACTATCATGTGAACTATTTGGCGGTTGTACAAAAGTGATATTTTGCTGTATCCTTGGTGGTGGTCGTAGCGATTTACAGTCGATACTAATTTTTCCAATAAACATTCCAAAGTTATTTTGTAAAGGAAAATTTTGTAGAAGGAATTTCACTGTTCCACCAAATACAAAATATGACTGTGTACTATTTTGTTTTTTACCGACAGCAGCACTGTACACTCTAAAGATAGATTTTTATAAGACTGAATCAGGTTTACCGACGAGATACGAAGTCTAAAGAGATTTTTACCGCAACTACACTGGAAGAACAAACTAACTTTTCACGTTGTAGTCATAAGAGGTTTCGTGCATCATTGCAGAAACTTTTAGAGGATTTTCGCGATTATCTGGGGGAAAACTTTTCTGTTTATAATGCAGACATACCTTCCAGGGGGATCTACACGGTACGTAGGACCCTTACAAGACCGATTATTGTTGCAGTAAACAGAAAATGGAAGTGGGTGAGATCCATGGATAGCAGCTGCAAAATAATTAGATGCAACAAAATTAAAGTCGGTTGGATCATTTCGCTTAGGTATCGGGTCAACTTCACTGTTGACTTTTGAGACACGAACCAAAACAATAACCGTTGCGATTTTCAAAAATGGAAACAAGAGATATATGAATGGTTGCAAACGCATGGCATCAATAAGTACCAATAAAGCGAAATGTTGCTTTCCTATAGTGACATCTTATCTCCGTATGATAGTTAAATAACTTGCTCTATATATGGTAATATATCTGATCAGGTCGCAAACAGTATTGTAAAGCAGAGTGTAGTAATATCGGATAAAAACACCAGCTTTAATTGATTTCTTGCAGAAGTCGAAGTATAAACCACATTACCCACTGATTTGTCTGTTGATCTAAATTCAATTTCATCATCTAGAAATAAATAAACAAGTTACGTAAGTTTTAGACATATGTCTCAGCGCACTTCTGAATAATCGAACATCCAAATACCAGCACCTACCTAAACAATTTAGCCTCAAACATTTTGCGCCCCTATAGTCTCAATCCTGTTTATTTATTCAGAGATCCTAAGAGAACCTTTCAAGATCCTTAATCTCAAGAATCTTGACAAGTTTTATTTAGAATTCTGTTTGAAATCTTAGTAATTTCTGCTTTCGGGATTGTTCACGGTGATAAAAGATCCTGTTTCGTCAAGTACCTGCTCAGACATTTTTAAAGTTGAGAACATTCGATCCTACCAAGATTTAATCAAGATCGCATCAAGGAACCTTTCAAGATAACGAGAGAAGATTCCCCCAAGGAACGATCAGATTTTCGTCGAGATACAGGTAAAACTTACTATCAAGATCTTATTAGAAGCAATAAATATCAGATTTTCTAAAAACAGAAGAATTCCTACGAAACCAAAAAAAGGTTGTTCACTTGGGTATAAACTCGAAACCATTTATTGGTTTCGTATGAAGCCGGTTCTGTACAGAACCTTTTCCAAGTACCTCTTAGAAAAGGTTCCGCAAGTTTAAAGGCAGTCCGTATTTCAAATTATGCTCTCGTTTAATCCACCGATCACTACGTATCTGTCTGTCTATCTACTTATCTACATAAGATTCTATTTTCCTATTTTGTCTACCTACCTACGATAGTCGTGAAAATTTTTCTTGAAGGTGTGGGTGTGTGTGGATACGGCTATAATACTCAAACCTACACCACCCACATCCACACTCCTCTATAACTTATTTTCTAGTTTATAGTGTAACTTTCAGAAACTTAATTATATAGTCGGTAGATTGAAGGAATAACAAGTTATAAGTGCTTACTATTTTTTTAGAATTATTAACGCTAGTTCCTTCAAGGTAATAGAACTGTACTATAACATATGTATATAAACAGCTGATAGGCCCAATATTTTTGAAACGTATATTCTAAGAAGAATAATATATTCTGTTTTTATTTCAAAGATATGATGATGTGTGTTTTAGTAACTGTAGAAACGAGAAATAAATGTCCTCGAGAATTATTAGCTAAATAAAGACATTACATCTGTTTTGTCGATATATGTTGTTTTGTGTAAATTTTACCTTCCACGTTTGTATCTTGCCGGGTGAGGATGTCATGCATTTATCATTTATCGACATCTCAGACAGATCGTCATATCTGCGAAGGATCTGTAGCTGAAATACCAAAGATATTCCCCGGGAATCGTTATTTACACTGTTTTTTGGAAAATTTATCTCAATGAAAATTATTAAAAAAATGTTTAAAGACTTTTGCGGTAAGAATCCTTAATCTCTTACTATCCCAACTCATGGATAAGTCTGCTAATATCACATTTTAAATACACTGCAATCAATTTTTTCTATTAGTGAATGTTTTACAAACGTCTCTCATCATTCATCTATCCTTTAAAAAACTTTCTTAGTTCATAAATTCTATTTCTATTTTTGGCAATTATTTTTAAAACCGGATTTTTATCTAATATTGATCGCCAACGTGCTGAAACTACAAGGATTATTTTATGGTTATATTCCGACAAAACTTTATTTACTATAAAATATGAGAACAGATTGTTGTCAATATACTAAAAGATTAATTATATTTATTTCATGTCATTTCATTTTGACAGTATTTCATACTGATAAGAAACTATTTGCTCGACTGATAAGAGACGATTCAGGGAAAAACGACATTTTCTGATTGTTTCTGTATATGTGCGTCAGCAAAAATCTTATAAACGTGTACATCTTTCTATTTTATTATTACACATATATATATTTATACAGTTTATGGAGTTTTCTTTGCAGAATAGGTTTTCGAAAACAAAATGGAATAGAATTTTTATCATAAGTTACTCGGTAATTTCTTCTTTCGGAATATACATGGTTTTTTGAGAGATTTGTTAAAGAGACTCGAGTCCTACTGTTATCAGTTTTCACAGATTTTTGTGGCTTTTTGAATTCTTTAGTTTTTGCAAAACAGTCTTTTCATTAGCATGTGCCTCAAATAAAAAGTTTTTGTAATTAATATTTGCTAATATTTTATCCTGATTGTTAGATTTTCTAAAACATAATCTGGCTTCTATCCATGTGAATACGTAAGCTGAAAGACAATTATTAAATAAAATTTGGTCTGTATGTATCTAAGAACTGTGTCTAACTTAGATGAAATATTACCTTACGTTATATTAAGTGTTTCAGAATTGAAGATAAGATATTCTAAGTTTGTAATGCTGTGCATTTAGGAATATATTTTAAAAATAATAACAAGTGAAAAGGCGAAGGATAGAGCAATAAATCTATTTTATTTATAAATGAATTTTTCTACAACTGAGCTGAACATAGAAAAAGTCAAAAAAATATAATAGAGAAAAGAGAAAAAAAGATGGAACCCAAAGACTATAAGAGAAAGCAGGAGGACAAAGAATAGAAGAAATATTAATATCAATCAAATATTATCTCTTAATGCTAACACTAATAAATGCGCAAGTTTACTGTTCGAATGGATTTTTTCATTTCAGAGTGTGAGTCTGGGTATGTGTGTGAATTGGTACAGGTCCGGGTGGATGTGAGTGTGGGTGTGTATGAGTGGATATAGGTCTGAGTGGGTGTAAGTGTGGGTGGGCCTGGATCTGGGTGTGTCTGCGTGTATGAGGATATCTCTTCCTTTCGTAAATACCCAAACCCACACCCACACCTCAATAAATTTGTTAATTTATTTGATTCGATTTGATCTATTGTGCCGAAAATAATGATAATAAATATTTGTTATTTGTTAATTTTGAATCTATTAAATCTGAGAAGATGAATTTATAATCTGTGGTTAAATAAAAGCATAGAAAATATGTGACTGATGAATTGATCGATTTCGTGATAAAATAAGATTTGATAATATTACTGTTTGCCATTGAAATAATAATGAAAGAAGAGACAGTAGTGATGATGTTTTCATAAATAAAATATAAATGGTGATTATATGATTTGTTCATAGAATTGATTTCGACAAACTTTAAATAAATAAATGAGACAATTTATTTTTCTTAATCGATTCCAAAGAAAGAAGAATTGTAAAGTATGTGAATAATTGTTATATTATTATTGAGATCTATATGGAAAAGTTGGCAAAACTAAAGAAAAGTTTCAAATAAACAATTAATTGAAAGTTGAATGATGTACAGTAAGATTATCTTCATCATAGCAGAATGACAAACAGATTTGATTTTATGATAAATCTATTACTGCAGAGACAAAAATGATTGTTTTTGAATAAGATTTTTATTGAAAAGAATGAACAGATTATTATAAAATTTAATTAAAGAAAATCTCATTAAAATGAATTTGTTATTCTTGAAGAAATTAAATGAAAATTGTATTTCTATGATCAAATTGTGATATATCTACGTTTTTTTAATATAATGGAGACAAGTGATAATTGAATATGAATTTGATTAACAATTAAATGAGATTATTACAATTTTGATAAGTAAAACTAAATAATAGATTAATTATTTTTATAATGAGCGAATCAATTGAAAAAATAATATATTATTTACTTGATAAAATTCTTGAAGGTGTGTGTGGGTGTGAGATGAATTTAGGTGTAGATATGATTAAGAAAACACACATCCTCAAGCACACCCATAGCCTCAAAAATGAACTTATTTCCATCGACTTGAAATTTTTGTCTAAGTTCATTGACACAAAAGAAAAAAAGGAAGAAAAGATTTCTAAGTAACAACTAGACACTTGAAAATTCTAGAGAAGAATATATTTTATCAC